GCAGTATATGTCACCCGCGTCCTTGACTTCGAGTTCTCTATCTAGACAGAGCCATAATAGTGAAGAAGAGGCCGAATGCCGTGAGTTGGCCAATGCTGCACTCAGTCTCACTCCGCACATTATGCAAAACCCAACTGAGGCCAAGGCTGGAGTAATCCGCATCTATGGCAAGACTGCCAGAGAGCACACTTCCTTTATTACCACTCGCATCCACGAGGGTGCGCTGCAGGAGATTCGCGTCGAGGCTGACGATAGAACTCGCGTGACTTTTCAGCTTGCAAGCGCGGCCGTCGAGTTCCTGAAGTCCAACCGCGAGATGCAACAGCTGCTGGGCTACGGTCGCTTCGGCACCGGTTATCACGTCGAGTTGGCGGAGATTGTGGACTGGAATGATGACCTCCGCCGCATGAACCAGCCGATCCGAGAGCGTCGCCGCCTCTCTTTCGCCAGAAAGAGACTTTTTGCGGAGGGCATGACTCCTGACAAGTGGAAGCATGATATTCGCCAGCTCGCGGGTCCTGGCGCTATCGACTTTCTTTGGGTTTTCAATTCTGGTAATGGTAAGTGAGCGACTGTACACGTTGCCCTTCACTTCATGGCCTCACCCGCTGACTGGCCTGTAGCTACTGCTGTTTTCAACAGCACCATTGTCGCTCGCCGCGTGCTAGAGACATTCGAGAATTGGAAAAACGGCCGCAACGTTTACAGTGGTGTCTCTGTGACCTACTCCTCTGATCCCTGTGAGAAGGAGCTCGCCTTAGTTCGCGAGAGCCGTGCCAACATGGGCAGAGGCTATGTGAAGCGGGTCATCCGCTGATTGAATATGTCCTTCATCTGGGTAAAATTATCCCATCAAGGTGATGATTGAACCTGAGGACAAAAGACATTATCTGATCGATCTGGATTTACAACATGCAACTGGTGCGAGAATCTTAGGATTAAAGGAGAAAAAGTCAGAAAAAAAACTTGAGAAGTGAGAAGAAAAAAGAAAAAAGAAAAAAAAAAGAAACAGACTAACAGTGCAGAACAGGGATCTGAACCGTTTGCTAGTCGAAAGTCTTGTACGGAATGTTTGTCCGGATGCTGGAACAACGTGGCCGCCTGGTGCGCGCACGCACGATCCGGTCCGGGTTGCAATCCCAGGATGTCGACAGGCGCACGAGCAGTGGTGGGGATATTCCTTTTTTCTTACAGGGATATCAGATCACTGCATGTTCGGATCCTTGTTTCTGGACGTGTTGCTTATGCTAAATTGTCTTTTACTTACATTTACATCTACCATAGTAAAATATCCCTCTATGGATATTGTTACTTGAAAGGTACGAAGCATAATGTAGCGAAACTTGGCTCTCAAGGTCTGTCATCGTAGGCAACTAGGCAAGTACCCGTAGATAGAAGCAGTGATTTCGCTCGCGAGTACTCTGCAGTCGCGAACGAAGTTGTGGTATCAAGTAGACATAGGCAATCAAGTCATTGCTGCTGAACATTCGCGGACGTACTTACCACAACAAACGCCTTGTCCCGATACTGTACGCATGCGCCCGTGCGAAGTAGGTTTACAGAGTACTGGAAATTGAGGTAAACATCGCCCAGAAATCCAAATCCTCTAGAGTTCCTGTAGAGTTCCTATAACAAAGATTCTTTTTTATCAGCCTGTCTCGTTCAACCCACCTATTCCAACCTTTCTTGAGCTTCTGAACCTGGAGTAGTGGTTGGTAAGTTACTGATGTAGTATAGATCAACGGAATGGCAGTAACTAAGCGGAAGGCTTCTCTCTTGGTTTGGTGGAGAAAGAATTGGGAAAGCACGGATCGACATTACCCGATAATCCCTATCCTCCCCTTTTATGCATTCATATCGGCAGATCCCCTTGCTTCCCTTGCTCATCATCAGCATCAACAAGAAGAAGAACAACACGATTGTTCAGCGGTGGGTTGGCTGGGTAATCTTGTGCTGTCGAGGTGGATGTACACCGGTGGTGCAGGTTGTAGAGATGTTAAACCCCGTCTGAATTTGGGAGTATTCCAACAGTTCGTGTGTAACTGCGGAGTACAGTACAGTACCTACATAGAAGAGACAATCGATGATGGGTTCAGTCCTTTCTCACTTTGCGAAATCATCGCGTGAGGGCTAACTTTTGGGCAAGATTGAAGTGCAAGAAATGCAGGAGTTATATAATATACTAGGTATATTGATTCATAGGCCAAGGATATTCAGTACTATCCAGGTACTGTTTAGTGTTCCCCTGAACTACGGAGTACTCCGTACAACTAACTACCGGTTAACAATTAGGATTGGAGCTTTATTCGTTTTTTTTTTCTATGGTACTCCGCTGAGAGTTCGCCAAGGAAGCAAGAGAGGAAAATGAACCCACCCTTTTTCTCTGACCCCTGCAGTTTAGTGCATCTAATCTGCAAAGCATTTTACTGAGTCAAAAAAAAAGGGGGGGAGTTTGGGGGTTGTGATTGGTAGCTTGGGGGTTGGCGGTTTTGGCGAATAAGGTTCGGTAGATGGATGCAGTGGTTGGTTACGGAATAAGGTACCTACTACCTACAGTATGGTAACTGCAGAAGACTGGTCTTATTATAATACTGTTCATGGATGTTCGACTGTTTCTTTCGAGAAGGATTCTACATCCAACATCCGACATATGATTTTGATAAGTGATATGTGGACGGTAGACGGTAGACGGGGATTTTTTTCTTTTGGCGAAATTGATTGGTGATTAATTGCTTTGGCTTAGGGTGGGTTTCGGATTGATTGGGGATCGAATAATGAACGGCGGGGACTGATAAAGAGAAAAAAAAAACCGTTGGATGTTTGTGAGATGGAACGATGCGGTTATTGCTGGGGTTGCTTCAAATGTTTGGAGGCTCAAGTCTTTCTTTCTTTATGCAACGCTCATTGATCATACATAGTGCTGTACCATAGCAATTAGAATGGAATGCTTCCTTGTGTTCTACCCTTCGTGATCGCGAGAATCGTTCGTCTGTGAGTCTTGCAGGACACATTCCATGGCTGACGGGGCGACGGACGAGAGATCCTAAAAATAATCCCTATCGAATAACACAAAGAACCCAAGAGCCCAAGAACCGTGGGAAAGACCGGAAAGAAGTTGTGGCTTACCCAAACTAGCTAAAAATGAGTAATCTTGTCTGCCTACCGTTACCCATGGTCTATCGGTAAGAGAGCGGAAGTAGAATCCACTTAAATGGCATCTTGACTTAGAATAATAATCGACCCGGAGTGACGAAGAATCGATGTTGTTTACTAGTGGTTCTGGTCCGTGAGGAAGAAAACAAAACACAAGACTAGGTGTGTTGTGGTTGCTTTCCCTCTTTCTTCCCCCTTACTAGAGATAAGGGACGGGCGGAGCAAGCGGCAAGGTTGTCGATCGGGGGGAAGGGACAGACGGGGTCCAAGGGGCCCGAAGTAGTGACTGAGGTAATCGGAATGTGCGCGTGGAGCAGACAATGTGAGGGTGAGTGTTCAACAGCACCCGTGGGCGTCAACCTCACGCAACCGGTCAGTTTGTTTCCGATGGAGCGGCGACACGGACCGAACGCCATTCGAAATCTGGACTTTCTGGTTTAGAGTGTGGTTGTATAGCGAGGGCATGATATGATGTCAGTTTAGCTTCAAACCTAACTGTTCGCGACAAACCCCCTGAGTGTTGTCGCTTATCTGGCAGTGCTTCAGATGTCAGGTGAGCATGGGGGCAAGGGGGGACAGAGAAGAACGAGTAGGTGGGTTAGTCCGCGAGCAGGGCTCACGGCGCGTGGGTACCTGAACTGTGGGCGACAGGCAGCTCCATCGAGTCTAAGACATTACTTTGTGAGCGTTCAGACCATTGATTGATCGGGCTTGAACCAGGATCGGAGGTTCTCCATTTTGGTTCATTTCGGCTGAATAGGGTCGACAACGAAGGCATTTATTTCAATTTAGGTTTGAGAGTGGCGCAAGTTGACAGTTCTCAGATGGGTAGCCCACACGCAGGAAAGAGGGAGTGATACTAGACAAGGTAGGATCAAGCGACTTGGTGGCATCTTGAGGCAAATACAATAATGTAATAATAATGAGCCAGTCAACGGTCAGTCAGTAGTCTAAGCGGCGGAGATAAGAGAGTCAAAAGCAGCGAGGGAGTGGGGAGGGGACAAGGACCCCCGAAAGGGACTAGTAGTGGAGAATCATGGATTATCCCTCGGAGGCCGAGGGGAAAGAGAGCGCTGAGCCGAGCGAAAGAGGGTCCTGGGGAAATTCAGGGAAAATTACAATTCAGGGCCTAAGGCAATTACTTGCTTGCTTACTTCCTTCCTTATTACTTACTGCATTCGCCCCTCGTGGCCCAGTCAACCATTTGAGGGTCAACAACCTGGCATACCACGCTTTGAATGGTTTCATGCTGCCGTCACCATCTCTCCGGAGGATTCATTCAGTCATCCATTCTTCAAAGACAATCAGGGGGTAACCCAGGGTGATCATTACGTATTCTGCGATAGCAATCTTTGAACTTCTCTGTAGAGGGTGTCTCTGTAGAGGATGTACTGACTGACTACTGAGGAGTTTACCAAGGTTACTTAGCCACTAGCTCGGCAACTAGCGTGGCCATGCAGTGTGTTAACTAACGCATCCAGCAAATTAATTAGCCTAGGTTTGTCCATTCATCCATATACACACCACACCACTGCAGTACTTCCTTCCTTCCTCCTTCCTATATATGATCTCTCCCTCCCTCTTTCCCCCATTCGGAGAGGTAAGCCTCGTGGTACAATTCGTTCGGTCTTCGCGATTTCTCTTCGCCTTTTGACTTCCTCCTGTTCCTCTTCTCTCTTTCTTTCTCTCTTCTCTCTTTTCTCTCTTTCGCTTTCTCTCTCCCTCCGTCTACTCATTCACTCGCTTTCAACAACTAATACTACAACGACTAACTACTACTACTATCACTCACATCCTGACCCTTTCTATCTACTATCCCACTAGTGGCAGCTCACTCCCGAATCGTCCCGTGATCCCTCATTTATTGGCGCATTCGTTGGTTGGTCTTGGTTCAAAACCGGTCGTTAATAATATACTGTATTCTTAAAAGGGAACTGTGGGGATCTTGGGTAAGTTCCTTCTTGCTTTCCGTGGCTCAGGAACCCGCTCTGCATCAGACGATCCATGAATGAATGATAAGACATGTGGTTCCCGTCCCGGGCACAACAGTTTGGCTAATATATTGCCTGGCCCTCCGCGCTCCCCCAGATCTGCAGTGATTCTCGATTCCAATTCTTCTTCCACTCTCTGTCTTCGATTTCCCCCCCTACTCGTTCGCCGCCTTTTGGTCTCGCGAAGCTAGGACTCGTTGACAACCGCCAATATGCACATCGTATCCTCCCTATTTTTGGCCTCTTTGGCCGCCACATCCGCCTTGGCTTCCGCTCCCACATGCAGCACCAGCTCGCAATGTCCTGAGGAGTACCCCTGCTGTTCGCGTTAGTGATCCTGATCAATCCCTGGCCATCAAGAGTGTCGTTGCTGACCGTCTTCATCAGAGTACGGCGAATGTGGTACCGGCGCTTACTGTCTGGGTGGATGCGATCCACTTTCGTCTTACTCCCTCGACTCCTGCGTTTCCGAGCCCGTGTGTCAGAGTAGAACCTACACGTGGGAGAACCTGGACAACTCCGCCTTGAACACCAAGTACCTCGGAAATTCTTCCGAGACCGACTGGGTCTACAGCGGTTACCCTAAGATCGAGGACGGGAATCTTCTATTAACAATGCCCAAGAACACCGTGGGCAGTCTGTTCGCCAACAACCACTACGTCTGGTATGGAAAGATTTCTGGCAAGGTCAAGAGCAGCCGGGGTAAAGGTGTTGTCACCGCCTTCATCCTGCTGTCTGATGTCAAGGACGAGATCGACTTCGAGTTTGTCGGTTCCGACCTCGCTAACGTCCAGACCAACTACTACTGGCAGGGTGTTTTGGATTGTAAGTTGACCCCTGTGGCCCACACGAGTCCGCTGCTGACATTCGATCTCTAGACAACAACGGAGGAAAGTCCGCTGTTAATGGCAGTGATACTTTCGACGATTGGCATGACTACGAGATTGATTGGACCGAAGATGCTATCACCTGGTCTGTGGACGGTCAGGTCACTCGCACCCTGACCAAGGAGTCCACCTACAATGCAACTTCCAAGACCTACAAATACCCTCAAACACCTTCACGAATGCAGCTGTCATTGTGGCCTGCAGGCCAAGCCAGCAATGCGGAGGGAACAATCCAGTGGGCTGGCGGTGAGATCGACTGGGACAGCGAGGATATCAAGGACAAGGGATACTACTACGCCACCTTCGGAGACATCACGGTTGAGTGCTACGATGCCCCGAACGGTACGGTCTCGAAAGGCGACAAGTCTTACGCGTTTGTCAATGAGGAAGGGCTCGAGAGCTCGGTTGTGATTACCGACAACAGTACCGTTCTTGCCTCTTTTGGCGCTACGGGCCTGGATATGGATCTCGGTAGCAGCAGCACTACCAACACCACGGGCGACAACAGCACGGTCCCCGAAAACCGTGGAGGCTCGGGCAATGAGCCTGGAGCCACGAGCTCAAGCACCGGCACCGGCACCGGCACTGGCACCAGCAGTGGTAGCTCAAGCGATTCGACGGGTTTCAGCCAGGGTACCTCAACCGACACTAGCTCCAACGGCGTCGCCTCTCAAAATGAGCGTGTTCTGAGAGGCTCGTTCTTTGCCGCATTGGTGGCAATTGTCGTTTCGGTCACTCTATAAACAGAGTCAACAACCTCCGTTTTCCCCTTCTTGGACATTCTTATTCATATATTTGCTTGACTCTTACCTGGCCCGAAATACCGTCACTCCTTCTACGACTTCAGCGTACCATTCTTACCTTTGATGTTTTATACCTGGCGCACTATTCGCCCTTGTCTGTTCTTGACCCCCTTACTCCTATTACTCTTTCCCAGTGGATGTCTTGACGCTTTTTAATGATCGCGCATCGGAGGTTGCGTCCCTGTTTTGACGTCATGAAAATGGCTTTTGAAGACCTTTACTTAATACCCTGTTTTGTTTCCGTATTGGCGTGGGCATGTCGTTTGGATGCTTATGATGTGCTGTGCCGTAGATAAGTACCTTCAGGTCAATAAATAACACCCTTTTTTAGCGGATTATCTGCAAATAAACGCACCAGTTAGATTTCAAGACGTTGGGTTGCTTCGTTTATTAGTTCATATAAGTGACTTTTTTAATCTCTGTGCGTTCTACACAACTTACCCAAGGGACGAGACGATGCTCTATAAAAGGAGGTTATGATGTGCGGGATCAGAAGAAAGACAGTTCTGCTTTGGGGTCCTTTCCTTCTCTTAATTCATCCCAGAGCTCCAGACAGACAGCCATAAACAGTTAGACCTACTACCCACGACAACGATTCCAATGACCCCAACTCCACCCACCACTTCTTCTATCCTCCTCGACCTCAAGCCATTATTGGCGTACCCACCCGCCCACCTAGGAACACTAGCCATACTATTTATTCCCTCCATGCATCCATCCCGCCGCATCTTCATTCCCCCAACCCATTCTCTGAATAAAGAACCATCCAGCAGGGGGATTACCCTTGCATTCGAGAAACCCAACCACGCACATGACCGAAGCTTATTCCGCGAGATAGAGATTCGTCGGAGTCCTCTCTGTATCGCGTTGCTTAATTCGGGCCTATGCTATCGATGACGATGCGCGTATACCGCACGCGAGATCGATGAGGGTCCATTGGAACTGATTTTCACGTGACCCACACCCACACTCGGGTCGCATTGGGTCGGGTTCGCTTAGCAGGCAAAAGACAAGCCTACTACGTGGATGGGTGGGTGGGGCTCAGGGGGAGTCTACTGTAGTAGGGACAGAAGTGTATGTGTGTATGTACGTGTAGATGGGCTATTAGGTACTGAGTAGTTGTAGAGCATAAGGAGGTTGGTTTCTGATTGGTACTGTACTTTGCCCCCCCCCCAACTGAGGGCTTTGCTGCAAAGGATTTCGAGCTAATGCTCATCCATCTTGTTCATGCAAATATTCGATTGTGGACGATTACTATGTAGAGGACTTGACCAACTGTGAGATGAGACAAACCGAATGGCCCTGATGAATGTGGTTGTTGTGGTTATGATGATCCAGCCGCCCGGACGCCAGAATGACCATGCAAAGTTGTCATGACATAACGGTTGAAATAAGTAAGAATGAAGAGTATACAATTGCCAGTTACAGCCGACTATCAGTCTAGTGAGCACCACCGCAGTTGCAGCCTCCCTCCGTCAGCGAGCGCTTGAACTCGCCATGGTAGGTGTCCATCCCCTCAGTGCGGACATCGGCACCGAGTGGGTCACCCAGCCAGCCGAACGATGATGTGTCGACCTGGTGCTCCGACGAGGCCACGGACCAGTATTCGGACGCTTGCAGCTTATCGGTGATGGGCTGCAAGTCGAGATTGAGATACTTGGTGAGGAATGATCCCACATCGATATTCTCGTTGTTTCCCAGGAGAGGCCAGGCATCCTTCGTGGAGGAAGCATAAATGTTCACGTCAACAGCTAGACGCGATGGTTAGTGTATCAATCAGCAATAAGATGAGGTGGACGCCATACCAGAATGTCCATGTGTCGCCCATCCAATCTGGGCCCTTCTGCTCACGATATCTGCGAACACATATTGGGGAGTGATTGGCGAGTCGGGATCAAGCACGGCCCAGATTTCCTCCTCGGTGGCATCGGTAATGCCGAGATCCTTCTCCAGCAATTTCCGAACAAACTTCTTCTGTGCAGAGGAGTCGCTTTCCTTGGAGATAAAATCCTGGAGCTTCTTGTTAACGTATTCTGACGAGTGACTAGCGTTGGCCAGCACCCCAGGAAGCCACTTGTAATCCGGATAGGAAGCATGGAGCTGTCGCGCGGCAGCCAGACCGCCGGTCTCATGGTCGGACGTGCTCACCACCACTCCAGGGGTAGAATCCTTCTCAAGGAAGTCCAAGACGGCCGCGAAAGCCTTGTCATAAGCCAACACCTCGTTGACCTGGGCAGCTGGGTCGTTTCCATGGCCAGCATGGTCGATGCGTGAACCCTCAATCATGAGGAAGAATCCCTTGTCACTGTCAGCGGTAGCCTCGCTGAGCGCCTTGAGCGCGGTGCGGGCCATCTCCTCCAAAGACGGATACACATCATTCTGGCTACGGCGGTCGATCTCGAAAGGGATGTCCTTCTCGGCGAAAAGACCCAGGAGCGGCAAGTTCACAGCAGCGCCTCCGTCCAGCGAATCGAATCCCTCCCGGTCGTTCAAGTAGTGGAATCCATTCGTCTTCGCCAACTCAATAAGGTCACGATCGTCAGCCCGACAACTTCCTTCAGTCGAGTTAGGCAGGAAATGGCACCGGCCTCCGCCCATGATGAGATCCACCACCCGGCCCAGAGGATGCTCACCGATCTCCTGCTCCGCGATGCGATCTTCGTACTGCCGAAGGTTGACGTGGGAGGCGAAGCAGGCTGGTGTTGCGTCGGTGATACGGGTGGTCACCACCAGACCGGTCTTGTAGCCTGCGAGAGCGGCCGCCTCGAGGACTGTCCCACAGGGAGAGTGGTCGGGAAGAACAGAAATGGCACCGTTGTAGCTCTTGAAGCCACAGGAGAACGCCGTGGCACCCGCAGCGGAGTCGGTCACGAGGCTGGAGCTCGATCGCGTCCTGGAGGTACCGATAATGTGCTGGTCCAGGACGAGAATATCGTCAATCGGAAGCCCTTCTGTGTATTGCTTGTAGTTCCGGGTCATGGTGAGACTGGCCGGGCCCATACCGTCCGACACCATGAAGATTAGGTTGCGCTTGCCGGTCGGCTTGCCCCCGGGGCCCCACGGATGCTTCGAGTGATCATTGACTCGGCTTGCCTCGTGCTGATAGACAACAGACAAAACAATCACAGCGACGGTGGCGAGCAAGGCCCATGTGAAAAGACCAACGTCTTTCCAGAATGCCCAGCCCCGGCCCTGACTGCGGTTGGTGCGTTCTCCGGTGAGTAGAGCGTCCTCTTCCTCGGCGTTGCGGATGGACGAGCGATCGGAGGACGGGCGCGAGGCCAGGAGTGGCTCTTGTCGCGCCATGTTCCTGTGTTGTTGCCTCTAGAAGACGAAAGATATAATGTATGATTGCGCAGTAGTGACAGTAAATCCGAGTATTTAATGAAAATTGAGAAGGAGAGAAAGAAGACAACAGGAGAGAGGAGAAGAAGACGAGGACGAAGTTACAGCTGCAAGAGCAACTCGGGGCAGCTGATAAGCAATCAATGGGCCAGCGTGACCCTGACTTGCTGTTTTGGGAATGGCTTCGTACGGGGGATCGACGTCACCGCCTCACTTTGATAGATAGATTAGGTAAGTATTATCCATGCAGTTTCAATGCTCTTTTTTTTTGGCATAATATACATACATGAACACAGAAGGAAAAAAAGAAATAAGAGTAGAGAAACAAAAAAAGAAAACAAGCCCGTAGTGGAGGTTCTCTCCATCGCGTGCTAGTACCCTCTCACACAGATACTGTTTCCCAACCTCGTAATTTACAGCTATCAACCTCCACATCCGATGTCTTGAGTGTACCAGACCATCCACCATGAAAAACTCACCACAGAGTGATATGCAGTGAACAGTAATCTATCTTCTGATATTCCCCTTCCATCCGATCGGAATCATAGCCGCAGCGATCTCCGACACACCTCTCTCAGTAGCAAGCAGATTGAACTGGGCAGCCGCATTGCGAGTATCGGCCACTTCAACCCGCAAGCCCAGGGAATTGAGATATCTCTTTGTTTCCGGCGATAGAGGGAAAACATATTCACCCATGCCAAGAATGAGGAGATCTATTGGGGAGGGGGAACAAATGAGGTTAGCGACACATCTATCAATCTTGTTTTCCTTTTTTTCTGCTTTTTTCCCTAGCATACAGGATAAGCAAAAGATGTCGTGACTTACCAGGACGAGGCCACACCAGATCCAATACACCCCAGGCCTGCTCGTCAAGCTCGAATTGACTCTTCTTGTTGAGCATAGCATCCCGATGACCCCCGGGGGCTACCTGCCACGGACGCCACGGGAACGCCTCTCCGCCCACGAGCATGACGCCGTCGCCACCGGTAATCTTCACTCCGTTGTTGAGGTGGAACCCGGTGTCCAAAGTGGCATCGATAGCAGTGGTCGGCGCGGGGATGTTGCCGAGGACATTGAGGGCGGCGAAATCCGTCTGCGTGTCCTCCGTCGACTGAGGGCCGCGGTCGTGGCTCGAGGGCTTTGCGCTGTGGGCGCGAGGAATCATGCGGGTAGGGCGGGCATTGTTGCTGTTGTGCCGCGGAGATGAGACCGAGAGGCCAATCCGAGAGAGAGGCGAGCGAGATCGGGATGTGAGCTGGGCACAGAGATTGACGCTGCGGTCGGCGAAGATGGAAGTACGCAAGGCGCGCAGAAGCTGGGGTGATGGGCTGTGCATAGTGGTGGAGCTTCTGCTAGGACTCGCGGTGGGTGATGGTGATGGTGATGGTGAACCAGGGCTATAAGTATTCCTGGGTTGATACTGTTGAGAGAATCAACCTTAAAGCACAGGTTTCATTCAACTGGTCTTTGGAAACCGTCAGCCTGGAGAGGATGTGCAGGGGCAGGAGCGATAATGATGTTAGCACAAAATATTTAAGTCCGTCTTGGAGCTCCGGAGCATTGAGACATTCCCCCCGACATTGGAACGCCGCGCAGGCGGCGCCCGGCGTATAACTACCTTAACTATCTTAGGCAGGCGGTGGCCGCATGATCCATAACTTACGAGCCAATAGGCCGGCGGCCAATAGTAACCTACCCCAGAGCTGCTAAGTAAGTTGCCCGTGGCACAAATACCGGCCCCAGACTGAGTATCATGGATACCGAACGGTTGACTATTGAACTTCCGTACCATTGCAGTGGTCGATCTACTCCGCAGCTTTGATGCTATCCTGAAAAACTCTTTTGTATTAAGTACTATGTTGGCAAAGTGCAACACATGAAGTAGTCAGCTAAATGCAATTCGTCTAGCACGTTTCATTCACCGTTCCATGCTCGTAACCTTGGGCCGAACTAGGGGGCCAACTCGACGTCTCCCCTGAGATGGCAATGAAAGCAATGCCATACAAGTG